GGGCCGAGGCAGCCGCAGCCCTGGCTTGGCTGCGCAGCCGCTGCGGGACTTTCCGACGGCGCCCGGGTTTTCTAGCCTTTTCTGTCCCAGTGAGGGAGAAAGGCAACAGGGAGACGAGTGAGATGGCTCTTCTGCCCACGGCGTGCCGTGGGTGGGGAGGGGTCGGAGGGCAGCGTCCGGGTAACGAACCCTAGAGGACCGGCGGGCACTAATCGTCCGCGTTTTGGGGGTACCACCGCGGACCAGCAGAGACCGGGACACAGGCGCTCCGCGTGGTGGGATACACATTGTACTTGCAAGAACTTGGGGATACAGGCGCTGAGCGTATGGGGCCGGGGCGGGGGGCACACCGTGTACTCGGAAAGGCTGAGGCACAGACGCTCCGCGTATGAGGGAGGAGGGGGACACACCTTACACCTCCAGAGACTCGGGCACACGGGCGCTTCGCGTTCCCAGAGACACAACACCGCGTAGCGAGAGCCACACACAGCCAGCGCTCAGCCGGGAGCAGAGACATCGGTTACTGAGGAGAGAGAGTCTCCGTGGCTCCTCATACCCGAAAGACGCGTCGCTCGCGTCTGAGGCGGATTCACAGACATGGAGACTTGGATCAAGGGGCCGGGCCGGGGGCGGGGATACACTGCGTCCCGGGCAGACTCGGGTTTCTCACCCCGCACCGCGTCCCGGAGAGAGATCCATGGACACACACAACTCGAGCACAGCGAAGGCTCACGTACTCGGCAGTTGGAGGACAAACCCAGGGACGCGTTTTCACGTTTAAAAAAAGAAAAAAAAAGTGAGGGATAGAGTGGGAGGCATAGCGAAGAAACGCCGCAACCGGAGTGCCTGGGGAAGCCGTTTATGGAGATGCAGTACTGTGAATGAGTGAGGGAGACAGAGTGGACACATCGCATAAGGGGAGGGATATACCATATGAGGGACCGGTAACAGTCACTCTGAGAAGAGAGACCGTCCGTGGAGCAGAGAACCCACAGGGTATCCCGACAAATAGCCAAGTCCATGTCAAGGAAACACGCTCTGATTAAGTGATTTCATAAAGCAGGCCCAGAGGGATACCCAGACACGCTCATAGTTATTCAGATAAAAGTGGAGAAAGGAGTTAACATCTGTTGAGCTCCCACTAGTGCCAGGCCCTTTAAATGCTTGGAAGGAAGGCCCAGAGTTGGAGGCAAAACCGCAGGAGAGGTGTGAACCTGGGCCAAGGGAGACTTACCTTCAGGGGGCCCCTACATAAGCATGCACACAGGAGGAGGCACACAGTTGTGCACAGCTTGAGAAGTACATGAGCTCACATGATAGTGTACATGTAAACAGCAGGAGAGACTCAGAAATGAGCATGCCCTCAGGATGGCACTCACAGAATTGAGTGGACACATGGATGTACATTCCAGGGCATATGAGTTACCCACCAGAGAAGCATAGGCGAAAAACACTCAGACTCGGGGGTGGAGGGAGGAGTGCATGCACAGGGAGAAAGATACTTTTCCTACACACCATGAAGTCTCAGGGAAAAAGGGTCTCATGTATGACTGGGAAGTCACACAGCAATAGGAATGCGAGGAAATACAAGAAATAAAAACTGCATGTGTCAGTAGCTACTCCCAGACAGGTGCATCTGCAGCGAAGAGACCAGCACCAGCACCAGCATGGAGTGGGAGGCCCACCTGGGGGAAGCCAGATAGGCAGGCAGAGGGACACAGGGGCAGACACTGGAGAGAAACTCAGCCCTGCAAGATGGAGAGATACGCTTGCCTGTTCCAAGAGGAGGGTGTGGGAAGGAATGACAGTGGGAAGAAGGTAGGTCAGGGTATGTAAAGAGAAAAACACCGGAGAGGAAGAAGCCAGCAGGAGGAAGCCAACCTCCAGTCAGAAACAGACCCACGGAGCAGGTAAAGACTGGCACACAGGGGTGGGGAGAGGCATCTCTGGGGACAGTAGGTCAGCCAGCCACCTTGCGGGGACAACTGGCGAACTGTACAACTGATCACAACAAGATTGACAGACACTGACCCGGAAGAGGTGGGTGAGGAGGCCCGCACAGGGAAGGGATGGTACCCAGGGAGAGAGAGGTGACAGAGAAGCCCCCAGTGCTCACTGAGAATGCTGTTTGTTTTTCTCCCTTCATTTCTGCCTCCTGCACCTTAGTGTTTACGTGCTTGGGATTAAAGTTGGAATGCTTGGATTCTAAAAGCCCCACATATATACCACTGTCTTAAGAAACAGCAGATCAAAAATTCTTCCTCTTCCAACCCACCACTTAGTTCTTGATTTTTTTTAAGTTATATTTATTTTTACAGTCAAAGGTACCAAAGTCAATGGCTTTCCTTGCTCCTGACTACTTCTATTGCCTATTAATATTACCATCTGTTTCCATCTCTGTGCATGCAAATGAATGTATCTAGTCAATCTGTACAGAGAAGGGAAAGGGAGAAGACTTTTCCAACCCCCTCTACCCTTCTGAGTTGGACCCAGGTAGATTGAGACAGTCCGTGGATTCCTTTTCTTCTAAAAGTTGGTAGTAGAAGCAGTACTATGCGGGGAGAGGAGGAAGAAATAAGCTGACTTGGCCGTTGCAGTTGGACACTGCCTTGTTTCTGACTTAACCAGTTCCTGTCCCCAGGCCTCACTGTCACTTTGGCCACAGAAACACTTCTTAAGGGGCTTGGAAAAGCAGGATTTGGGGTGAGACTGTTAACTTCAGACAGCCGGAAAGTGGGAAGAGACAGAAGAAAAAGAAATAAGGTACTGTTGGAACTTACTACAGTATCCTCTGGTGTGTTCAGCCAAGTCTCCCACAGTGTGTCCTCAGTGTCCCACCTCCTGACTAGGGCCAGACCAGGGCTCCCCCATCAACACAGTAAAGTTGCCAGCAGTGGGCATGTGGCCGAGCTTTTATCCTCCAGTAGAAGGATACATACTTGGTCTTTTACGCTTTCACTTTCCACCCTTATCAAATTAGGGCTCCTAACTTTAAATTGTAGCTGCCTTTGGAAAAATGTTGGAATGCATTGGCTAGTCAGGGAGAAGTTTCTATTCTCTCCTGGGGACGGGGGCAGGATGGCTTTAACTTCTCATATAAAACTGCCCCTACCATTCCTGTGCGTAGATAGGAAGGTGCTTGATGCTTGACAAGTGGCCTCCAAGTGGCTTTGGCCCATGCAATGTTATGACTGTTATGCCTCCTCTTCTGATGACTTTCTAAGAGCCAGAAATTTCAACAGGTTAATTTCCTAAATTAAGCATCAGAGAGTTATTTTTATCCAGATTATTTTGTCCATTGGATTTACTCTCCTAAATTAATCCACTTGACCTAAGACTTCAGGGAGGTAAATTTAAGAATTTTAGGAAACTATGACTTAGGCTAAATACAGATGTTCTTTAGATATAATTGAGCAAGTATCTGAACTTATTAGAGTTCATGGAAACAGAATCTTTTAATTAGAAACAATTCCTCACTGTTTCGAAAGACAAACAAACCTAATTGACCTTCATTACTCAAGTTTTCTATTTTTAGAGAAGAAATGAGGAAAGCTAACTTGGGAACCTTTTAAACAGAGATTGGGGTGCGGGATAGAGACATTGTGATTCCAGGAATGGGAGTTATAGTTGGAGTAAATATCTCCTAAAAGTTGTTTTCCACTCAATTTGAATACAGAGACAGTTTCAAGTTGATTATATATAAAAAAAGTGTTAACTGGAAAGTTATTTTCATGGTTTGCAGAATGAACTCAGAATACTTATACAGATATTTAGTATATATTGCAAAACTACTTTTTTTTCCCTATAGATAGGTTATTTTGAATGAAGGTACAAGTTACTAAATAAAAATCACGTATTACAACTTTATAGTCATTCTAAACTGATGTCTGAATTTGTGGTCTCACATATTTTAAATGAGCATATGTTACTGTAATTACATATTTCTCCCAAATGTATCCTAAAACTATTTCGAATTAAACCTCAAAATTCTAAAATTTATTTTAGCCAATTCCTTCAGTAATTTGTAGCTGGCTTTATTTTGACATTTGAGTAACTCATTTGGTAGTAACAAAAATCTTATCAAAATTTTGTTTTCAGATTCTCTTATTGCTGAGCCTGTTGATTTTTTTTTAATGTTTACTCAAAGTTTCAAAGGTGGTGGCTCAAATAATACTATCATGTTTATCCAACTATTACATAAAAAGTCTTGCATAGATGCATCTGGAAGCAGGGGCCATTCATTCTGTATGCCTGAAGATGAGAAAGGAGATGACTTTAAGAAGGATTCTGTTAACACATTCTCTTGCCAACTCCAATTATTGGCTTTAAATTTCCCTGCTTTGATTAGTGTCTTCTAGGAAAATAATAGTGTTTTGAAAATTTGTACAAATATACTTACGTTTAATTTTGCATGAGGAATTCAGTCTCTTTCAGTATTACTAGATACTGTTATTTCCAGTCAAAGCATAAAGTCTTATTTAAACCTCTAAAGTTACTGTCCTTCACAATAGCTCCCTT